ACACTGGGTGAACACTCAGGGGCAAAGAGGCAATCTATAAACAGACCAGTGTAAGTATATGTTGAGAGCTTAGAGGTGTGTATCTGGGGATCTCAGTGAACACTGCTGGAAAATCTGAAAATTAAGTAGGAGTTGGCTAAAGGGAGGTGTGTGTGGAGGATATCCCAAGGGGGGAGGGTATCCTGATGCACCAAGCCTGAGAATGCAGGTGCGCACAGAGACTGTCAGTAGAGGACAGGGATTTCTTCTGCATTGTTTACTGTTATATTTCATAAAGATGCTTAAAGATGTTTTTAGCATACAGCAGGCATTTAGTGCATATTCATTGAAATAGCAGCTCAAATGAATTGTGAAGGGTCTTATACCTCTGATGCAGGGTTTCTCTAGGAGTTAAGGTCTTTTCATCACTTTCAAATTGAATTGGAGGGTGCAAATTGTGTGACTTTTCTGGACCTATTTCCTTATCTGTAATATGAGAGTAACAGTGATAACATCGTCGGATCATTATGGAGTCAAGTTGGTTTGTGTGTAACAGATGATGGTAAACACAATGAATTCTAGCTGTGACCAAATCTTGTATTTCCCAATGTGGTTAGTGAACCACTGTTCAACCTGTTACCCAAACCAGAAATAAGAGATTTGTCTTAACTCTTCTACATTTCTATATTCCACATCAAGTCACTGAATACCATCACTAATCTTCTTTCCATCACCCACCACTAGTACCTTGGATTTACCTTTCTTACCCTTTCCCCAAATGACTTAAATTGACCAATGACTATTCTTCCTGTTTTATCTTTCCCTCATTTTGACATTCTCTATCGAGTCCTCAATGACTTTTCTGAAATGTGGAGCTGGTATCTTAAAACTCTTCAGTGCCTTCCCATTCTCCTAGAAAACAAATACAATTATGAGTGAAGATTCCTAAGGTCTGTACCTGCATCTTTCTTTGTCTGGTTCTGACCTTTCTTTTGTATTTATACTTCTGAGTGCTCTGCTACTTTGAGTTTCTGTGTCTTTGAACATTCAAATTCTCTGTGAAAGACCTCCTACCTTAGGATTCTTTTCTAAACTTAATTTGGGTAGGTCATCCCAATGTAAGACATGTTCCTTGCAGTCAGTTGATACAATTCTTCATGTGGAGCTTATCCATAGCACCTGTCATGTGTATCATAATCATTTGCATGTCATTCTCCTCTGAGTCTGAGTTTAATTATCTCTGAGTGAGTCAGATACATGAATTAATTTCTAGGAGAGTATGAGTTAGAAATCCCATCTTCAGACACAGGCGGTTGTTAAACATTTCTTTATTGAACATATCATCTGGCTAATGATCACTTACATCAATATTGAAGAAAGAATCGCTACAGTTATTTGCTGCCAAGGGGGAGATTCTTTTATGCTTGTTGATATAGCAAGTGTGCTCTCTTTTTTTCAATCTTCCAAACTCAGCCATTTCCTGGTAAAGAGATAATAATATTTCTTGAAAACTAATTGGAAGAGCTGATAAGGAAAGTTGTCATTCCAGTTCTTAGACCGTACTGTGGAAATTGTTCTTTACATTTTGTTTGTGAGGAAGCTATAAAATAATGCTGACTTATTGTCCAAAGAACAGCTGTTAAGATTGCAGAATGATGCTTTATTGAGGAGGTTGAGAGGGAGAAGAAAGGCATTTGAGTTGTAACTCCGTGCAACATAGAGAGGAAAGCTATCTTTCTGCCCTGAACTCCGTATAGTTCACACATAAATAAGGCACTCTGGTAATAGGCTGGAATCTATTTAATAACATGTAGTCTTCAAATTGGTCTTCTTACTCTTACTTGAAGGTTCATTGGGAGGAAAATGGCTTATGGGTGTGGGTCCATGGGTGGTTTATGGTTTAAATGGGGTCTGTGACTCCTCAGCCTCATACATATGTATGTATTAGACCATAAATTTAAAGAAAATGTGTAGTTTCTATCAAAGTAATACTAGAGGTGCAGTCATTATTTTTCCTGCCTGAATGTAGTAATTTTCCCATGAGATATGCTGATGAGAGAAAACTAATCACCTATTGCAGAGAGAATAATAACATTCAAGCAGTTGATTGCATCCAATGGCTAATGAATTATTCAAGCTTGCTTGCATTTGCACCTGGGCATGGTGTCGTGGCAGGCAGGGATGATGAACTGAGCTTTCCAAACCATTCCTGGTGGTCAACACCTAAAGTGCCGTTCAGTACAATTTGTGCCCCCTCATCTCCAAATTCCATTCATGAATTGTCAAAATATTATATATAATTTTTTGTTAGTTTGTGTTCTTTTGTGTTTTGGTAGGAGAATGCTTCAGTATCAGGAAATCACCATGGCTGTAGCTTGACAATAATACTTATAGCACTTGTCTTTGGTGCTTGTATGTTGTACTGCATTTGACCCATATAATTTGGGCTACAGTTAGGTTTCCGAGATTATTAGTAAAAGAAACCAAAACTTAGAATTTTTCCCACTTTCTTTTGTTAATAAAAAGGAAAATTCTCTGACTCTCACTTGAGGGTTTGTCCGCTTCCTTCCCACAGTAGGAGTGTACTGTTGTTTTTTAAAAAATTTTGCTGGATCATCAGAATGAAATGGATTTCCAGGACGCCAGATTAGCCGCTCACTTTTCATTAGAAGACACTCTGTTGTGCTTTGCTGCATATTGGATACTCCTGTGAAGCAGGAAGGATGTCCAAACAGTAAGATTTGGTTACCTGGCATTTTGTTTGTTGTGTAGTGGTAGATCAGTGAAAGCCACAAAGGGAGCCAGTAAATGTAAGAGTGAGATTGCGTACTTGAATTCGTTTTATTACTCGTAAGGCTTGCTAAGTTAAAAAGCAGAGAAAAGTATTCAGTGTGTCTCTGGACTTACATTTCATTTACTTTTTTCCTTCTAGTGCTGGACTCAAACCCAGAGCCTTGCACGTGCTTGGCAAGTACTGTCTTACTGAGCCACATCCCAAGCCCCTTGGGCTTATTTTTCATTCAAATTTTATAATTATTTGCTATTTAAAATATTAGATATATTCTGCTTTACTTTAATAATAGAGGAATTGCTACTAAATCCATATCATAAATGTTCGAAACAGTTTCCAGCATGACTGTGTTAAGTGACTAAGCTTCTTCCTTCCCTCCCTTTCCCTCTCCCTGGCTTCCTTCCTTCATCTTTCTCTTTAAAAACATTAGATATATAATATTATATTGATTTGGTAAGTGAAATTATTCAGGCATTTAAGACATTTTATTTCTCTTTGGTATCTAAGCATCCTGAAACCTCTCCTATGATAGCTCAAATTCCTTCTAGCTCTTTACTTTGGGGTTTTCTATTGTTTTTATTTCATTCATTTTGATTTTCAAATCAACCATTTCCTTTTTGGCTATTGGCACAGAATAGATGCTTTGTTCATTTTAATTAAATTTTAAAATGATTATTGAAACCATCTAAATTAGCAGCTATTCTAACATAGTTCCTGAAAATGATGAAATATGCAGCTACCCACCTTTTTAGCTATATTTAAAACACTAGTATCAGGAGGGTGTTGATATCTCTTTTTCTAAATTCCAGGGTAGTTTGTCTCTCTTGTGTGTAAGGCTTTTCTACGTTCATGTTATCACCTTCTCATCAGACTTCAAACTCTAGTGCACACATGGGGCCATTTCCACAGCATCTCCCTAGCATTTCTTAGCTTCTCAGTGAATTTTTTGAAATAATACATTTTATTTCAGGTGGCATATTTTAAAACAAACACAAATCTGCATTTCGCTGTTCTGTTTCAGTTATATGCAATAACAGTCTAATTGAACTTGAACCCTCAGAATTAAGAAGCAAGTCATTAACTTAATTTCAGGTCTGTTCTGTGCTATTTCATCTCTCAGAATACTCTTGCGGAAAAAAAAAAAAACAGGTATAGGTGAGAGTTTGCTTGCTTCTGTTTCTGTAACACTGCATCAGTGCAACCAAAAGCTTGAGTTGTGGAGCATTCCCACTGGCATTGGCTTATTTAGCATGTTGCCATTCAGTAAAATCTCATCAGTGATGACGTTTCTTCTACAGCACTTATAGTAAAGGTACACCATTGTCATCAGATCTGCAGGTTCAGGATGAGTCTGGGGCTTCTTGGGTTTTAGTACCTCTCAGTGGTCCTGGAATTATTTTTGAGAAACCCCGCCTTTGAATTTTGAAAGAAGTTTATTTTGAATATTCTGTGATGATTCTTCCTAAACTTGTGAATCATTCTAAATGTGCTTAAAAACTGCATTACTGGTCTGTTTACAAATTCTTTGACATTGTAGAATTAGTATTATTCTTATTCGGCATTGCTAGTGAAATTTTATATAATGCTTTCTTTTTTTGCAGTTTTATCGGTGTAGGGTATATCAACATGCCCCAAAACTACCATTTATCAGGAATGGGAAGAAACAAAACTCAAGTTGCAATATTTTTTCTCGTGTCAGTTTCTATTGAAACAATATTTGTCACCACTTAATCCCACATTTTATGTGTCCTTTTATCAGAGAAAAACTTCAGGATACTTCAAAACAAAGTCTTCTCTTAGTAATGGTCAGTATTTGATGATGCAAATATTGACCTTGAAGCTAGAGAGGGTACTGATGTTTTAAAATCAAGTCTGTGGTTTAATTTCAACAAGTATTTGTTTAGTGCTGATTCTCTGAAAATGGAAATGATAAATACAAAATTGTAAACCAAGTTTGTATTAACTCCAGCAAAACAAAACAGATATAGGTGAATTAATTATGTATCTTATGAAGCTATTGGGATAATAATGAATCGATCTTCAATACACGGCCTTCCCTTTCTTTTTTAAACTTTGTGGTTGCTTCTTTTATAGATAGATCTAGCCTTCTTTAGGTGATACACTGAAGGATTAGGAATTAGGACAATTACTGTAGACCTCAACTTATAAATTTATAGATGATCAGAATTTCTGAATGACTTAATCTGTTATTATAATTTTTTCTTTTTAGGGACTTCCTTCCTCGAGGGTCAGGCATCGTGACAAGGCGACCTCTTGTGCTGCAGCTTGTTACTTCTAAAGCAGGTAATGCATGAAGATGCTTGCTGCGTGGATGAGTCCCTCCAACGGCACCTGTCATTTCATTCCAAGGTGCTTCTTCAGGCCATGGAAGGCTTTGTGACACTCTGCTGTAGGCAGCTGCCTGTGTTTCTCCCCACATTGCCTTCTTCTTGGTTGCTCTTCTAATTTTTTGATTGTGTCAAGGAGACATTTTCATTTTCTATAGGTTTTATTTAAAACTCACTATTTATGCCTGGAAAATAATATAATAATGAACTAATACTTGCTCTCTGCAGTCCATCTATATTTTACATACAGTATATGCTTCCTTTTGCATTTCTGAGTTGCAAATTTCAACAGCCATACCTAAGTGGGGTTGAATTACATGGTAACTATAAGTTTAACTGCCTACAGAACTGAGAGTTTTCCAGAGTACTTGCACAGTTTTACATTCCCACCTGTCCCACCTGTAATCATGATGGTTCCAATTTCCCCACAGCCTTGCCATCATCTGCAGGTGTAAAGTTGTGTGTCTCGTTATGACTCTGAGCTGCATTTTCCTCATCACTGATGCTAAGTGCTTTTTCATATACTTCATATCTTGATTGGGAAAATACCCGTCCATCTTCTTTGCTCATTTAAAAATCATATTATCTTTTTTTTATTGAGTTGTAAGAGTTCTTTATATATTCTTGTACGAATTTCTTATCAAATATGTGACTTGTAAAAATTATTCCTGTTCTGTGGATTGGCCTTCCACTCAATGTGTCCTTTGAAACATGAATTTTTAATCTCGATAAACCCAATCTATTTTTTCTTTCACTGCTCATGTTTTTTGATGTCATATTTAAGAGACTTTTGCCAAAATTAAGGTCATACAGGTTGACCCTGTGTTTTCTTCTAAGAGTCTTACAATTTAGTTTGGCTCTTAGGTTTAGGTCTTTGATCTATTTTCAGTTAATATTTTTATGTAGTATAAGATCCAACTTTATTTTTTAAGAATTTTTCATCAGCACATGTTTGCAGTACATAATGATTATATTCACTTAGGGGAACTGGTATATATTGTAACATATCTTAATGTTTTTGTCCTGTCTTGATCCCACTTCTTGGTCCCTCTTTCATTTGCAAAAGATCTGTCTTCTAATTTCCTATTATCTGTCTTTTATTTTGCACTTTGTCCATATTTTGAGTTTCTTAAACTTGGCAATTTTTAAGCTTGTGTGTCTAACTTATTTCATTTAACATTATGGTTTAAAGGTGCATGCACTTTCCTGCAAATAACTCAAGTTTATTCTTCTTTATGGCAAAGCACTGCTCTGTCATGTATAAATGCTGCACTGTATCCATTCATTTGTTGATGGACATATAGCTGCTTCCAAGAGTCCGCTGTTATGACTTATGCTGCTTTAAACATGGGTATGCTATAATGTCTTTAATTTTTTTTGGAAGATACCTAAAAGAGAATAGCTGGGTCCAGTGGAATTTCTAGTATTGGTTTTTTGAGGAATATCTATATTGATTTCCATAGTGGTTGTACTAGTTTACGTTCTTACTGACAGTATAGAAGTGTTCCTTTTTATCACAGCCTCTCCAGCATTTGTTATTATTTGGCTTTCTAATGATGGTCATTCTTTTTGGGGTAGCATGGAATCTCAGTGTTGTTTTAATTTGTATTTTCTCTAATGGCCAGTGATGTTGAACATTTTTTCATGGATGTTTTTTTTGCTATTTGTATTTCTTCTTCTGAGAAGTATCTATTAATTTCAGCTATCCATTTTTGACTAGGTCTTTATTTTAAGGGGAAGTCTAATTTTTTGAGTTATTTATATGTTCTAGATATTCATCCTCTCTGATGAATAGCTAGAAAAATTTCCCCCATTTTATGGGTTGTTTCTTCACTCAGTTGGTCACTTCTTTTGCTGTGAAGAAACTTTTTAATTTGATATGATCCCATCTGTTGATTCTTTTTTTTTTTTTGTGAGATGAAGCTTCTATTCATAAAGTCCTTGTCTACATCTATATCTCCAGGATTTTTATCTTCCCATTGATTATTTGCTTATGAATGCCTATTTGCCCAGCACTGTTTATGAAAAAACTATACTTCCTACCTTGTGTGATCTTAGCACCCCTGTCAAAAATTTATTTATCATAGTTACATGGCTTATATCTGACACATATATCTGACCTCTATTGATCTAAATATCCATTGTTGAACCAGTACCACACTGTTGTATTTATTTTTCTCTGTAGTATTTTTTGAAGTTAGGAAGCAGGAGTCCTGATTTGTTTGTATTTTTTAAGATTGTTTTGACTATTTTAATATTGCTTCAATATTCTACATGAGTTTTACTATCAGCTTCTTTTATTTCAGAAATGTGAGAGTTTTTAGCATCTGAAAGTTACTTAATATAATGCATCATATCATTACAATGAAAATCAAGTTAAAAAAAAGTCTCAGGATCATCTCAATAGATTCAAAAAACATATTTGATAAAATCCAACATCCATTTATGATGAAAAGCTCACTAAAATGTTAAGAGCATGTATAAGAACTGCACAGCCAACCTACTCAAATATGAAAGACTGGATGCTTTTCCTCTGAGAACACAAACGGGACAAAAAGGTCTGCTTTTGTCAATTCTATTCAGCATTGCCCTGGAGGGGCTAATGAGGTCACATGGGCAAGAAAAAGAAATAGAAAGTATCTCTATTGGAAAGTATGAAGTAAGATAATCTCTGTTTTCAGATGATATGATTATATACCTGGAAAACTCCCCAAAAATCTGCTATTAGAACTAATAAATGAGTTCAAGAAAGTTATAGACTTATGATAAATATGCAAAAATCAATTGTATTTCTATACACTTGCATTGAACAATACAAAAATTAAATTAAGAAAAAATTCCATTTACATGAACATCAAAGAATATATGCTTAGGAATAAATTTACTAAAAGAAACATGAAACTTGTTCTCTGAAAACTATAAGGTATCACTGGAAGAAATTAGAGAAGATCTAAATAAGTTGGAAAAACATCCCATATTTGCTGATTGAAGACTTATACTCCCAAAATTGATGTACAAATTCAATGATTCCTGTCAGGATCCTAACCAACTTCTTTGTAGATACTTTCACCATTTTTTAATGTTAAAAAATTATATACTGTCTGATTCAAGGAAGAGACTCAAGTGCCATTCAAAAGAGTGAATTACTTGAAAACCTACAGTGTTTCAGTCACTATTGTAGGCTCTGATGATATAGCAGTGACTATATTTCACTACCTGTGTGGTGATTTACATCCTGGTGAAAACTTCTTAATACACAGAAGTTTTACTCATTATAGTTGTAAAACATTTTATATTCCAAAGGAAAGTTAATATTTAGCACAGTTTTATTCCTTTATAATCTTTTTAATTGAATTGTTTTGTGGTGCTGGAGGTTGAACTCAGGGCCTTATATGTGCTAGGGTATTGCTCTACTACCGAATGACACTCCAGTCCTTTTAATTAATTGATAATTTTTTTGCTAAATTATCCAGGTTTACCTAGAGCTTGTGGTCTTGCATTAGCTACTTAGCTTGCATATCAGCTACCACTGATCCTAGTTTTACTTTATCTTTAATTTAATTTTGGATATTGAACCCATGTTCTTCACCCGGAACTGGCTCTCCAGGCTTTTTATTTTTATTTTTGAGGCAGGGTATCACTAAGTCACTAAGTTGCTCCAGCTAGGTTTGAGCTCAGGATCCTCTTGTTTTGGCTTCCTAGAGTTCTGGGATTACATCATGCATCACCAATTTTTACATTGGTTCTTTATTTTATCTTACATTTATTTTCATATATACTGAAATGATTTTCCCTAGTCTCTCTTATGTTCCTTTATTTTAATGACTTTTATCTATTTCTAAATATTGCTTCTGCTTTATTGGGCCAATACTACAGTGTTTAGTTTTGTGGATTCATAATTTTTTTTCACATAAACTTGTCAGGGCTGTAGTTCTGTCCTCATTTCTTAGTTTTTTAGGACTTCTTTTCTATTTTTTTAAAATTTTATTTAAGGAGAAAAAGAAAAAAAGCAGAGAAAGGGTACAAGTTATACAGATTTACAGAAAAAAACAGCAGGAAATCACTAGTTAATGGATTACATATTGTCATCTTAGAAATAGTTGTTCAAGTTACAAAATTAAAGCTTATAAAGTGGACATTCCGATAGTGAGACTGCAAACAGTTCTGTTCAATGATCCAACCAAACTCAGTAATATCATTATTTATCTTATACACTTAAATATACATGCAGTTATATCGTTTAGAGCACTTTCTTTTCCTCTCTTTTGTACAATGACAATTACACATTTTGGGTTTTATTGCTCCCACAGTTCTTATTACTTTTTTTGGAAGAGAATAGAACCAAATGTGACATAACAGAGCAGAGTCAGTCAAATCAAAAGGGTGGACATAATAGATAATGTAAAAGCATAATACAAGGTGATCAACAATACTTACCACAATGCCTCCTGCTATCTCTAATATCATCAGTTATAATAAAATTGAACAAAACAGTAAAGAACAAAACCGGCAAAACCAAAACATTGGAGACATTACAGGTCTTCAAAAGTAGATAATAGTCAACCAGAATGGGTGTCATAATGAATCCCACTATCCTCACAGCTGTTGCCTAAACTTTCAAACCTGGTACTATCAAGAAAAACAGAATAGAGGGACATCAGTCAAAACAAGATGGTGAGAGCAATACAGGGCTTTAAATCAAGATAATGGAAAGTCAAAGTGGGTTACTATAGTATATCCTATTTTTATTTATTTTTCCTTTAATTAAAAGGATAAGAATAAAAAATTAAATAATAAAATGGAGATTGAGATAAAAGAGGGCATAACAGCAAAACAGCACAGATGAAAACATAACCATTTAAGCAAAATAGTGTTTCACCACAAGATAATCCCGACATAAAAGTAGTTACCATATTGTCTCTTTCCTTGAAATCTTTGAGTATAACTTCGTATACT